CACATTCACACAATAAAATATTCTGTGTACAAACCAATATTTTTTTTTATTTTAACCACATATTTTTCAGAAATAAATATACTATTTAAAATTCTATATTTTCTTCCATAATGAGAGACAAACAAACTCTTAATTTATATAAAAAATAATAATAAAAAAATCAACCCCTTCATCAATTGAAATTTTGTAGGTGGAGATTAATTTATGTTACCTACGAACAATTCGTTGATGATATTCATAAATACTAATAATTAAAAAATTCAATCACTTGCTAAATATACACATTTATACTGCGTTTGTTTCTCATTTTTGTAAGAATAAGAATGAAAAATATAATCGTTATGAATCCAACACAAGAGGTAAAAATTTAAATTTGGTGGCTTGATGTGATAGATAACGATCATATTTTTTATTTTAATGGGGAAAGAATGAGAAATAAATATAAATAATTATTTATACGATAGTACGATACACTATTGCCGATCCAAAGGAATTCTTATCCTACATCGAAAGTTCACAACAAATTCTTTGGAGATACCTTCTATAAATTAGTGTTCTAATAATAGGTTAAACAACTTTTTGGGTCTTTCGATTCAGTTGGCTAAAAGTTAAAATTAATAATTATTAAATGAATAATAATAACAATAATAAAAAATAAAATAAATAATAATTTTTCCCTAGTCTCATACCTATGCAATTATTTACAACACTGATTTTTATCAATTGTAATGGTAGACATTTACCAATGAAAAATCGATTGATAATGGTTAAGATTAATGTTTTCTTTGCTAAAATGTTTACTCTTAATCTATGGCGAGATCCGTTGGTAACCATCAGTAACTCTCGATTTAACATCGAATTTGTGGTTGTTAATATTCCATTGATAAAGAATAATAGCAATGGATTTCGTGGTTTCAAAAATGAAAAATTCGCGCTTGCTGCCATGTTTTTTGGTAGTGATTTTATTAAATATGAAATTATATGATTTATTTAATTATATATTTTATGTAATGACACTAGTAGTACTAAATAGCATTATTTTAACTCTTAAACTCAAGATTTGGAGCCTAATAATAAACTTTTTTATACGAAGTTTATTGGACTTCAATAAAATGATTAATATGGTCTTCTGAAATTGTAAATCTCAGATCGAATTCATAAGTAAAATTTCTTGCATTTACATCTCACATCCTGTTTAGAAATAGTTACATTAACTTTGATATTGTTGTGAAGTGGGAGCATTTTATATATTGATTTTAACAATACTTTAAAAAATTAATAACATATTTTAACACATCTTGAAATATCAAACTTAATATACACAAAGACTATACAAGTAGTTTAATTCATCTCACATCAATCTTATTTCAATTTTTAAAATGCGTCTTATGGGGTAGTAAGTTCATGTTTGGTCAACATTTTTAATTTTTTTTTTTAAATTTATTTTCAGTCATATATTTAATAAAATTTTTAACTTTTATCAAAAAATTTCATCAACTTTTATCATGATCTACTAAGTATCTAAATTTTCTCAAAATCAAATAGGAACTTATGTCAAACTTAAAATTTTCACTTAAAATTTCTTGTATTTACATTTCACCTCTTCACCTCGCACACATTCACCCAGTGAGAGGATAGAATGTAAAAGAAAAGGCAGACAATTTCTTCATTTTCCCAAAGTTCAATGCTTCCTTATTCCTTAATTTTCAGCAAGAAAATTGAGAAAGTAGTAGAGAAACAAACATTAGAGCATATTAAATTTAGATAGTCAAAATTTTTATACACTCCAACAATGTTATTTGTTTTGGCTCATCATTTTGCTTCATTAAAGAAACAATTATTGATTTTTCCTGATATTTTATTTAATATAATTTATGTACGTCAATAATCAATCAATTTAAATGTGATTTCAATAGTTAAAGAATTAGATGTTGAAATCTTGTGACTTTTTTTATGATGGAGGAACCCGCAACTGCCACCCTTCGAATGCACATTGGATAAACCTTCGAGCTGGCGCAATAGCTTGCAAACCACGCCAACCAGGTAAATCGCACTAGGCAAGCCCTGTGCAACATACTCAACCGAGAAAGTATTGGTAGGGAAAATCGAACTCGTGATCAAAAGTTTTTGCGCTCACCTACTCCACCAACTCGGCCACTCCATGAAGAGCAATCTTGTGACTTATTAAATACAATTATTGTACATCAAGAGTAAAGAATGAGTCTAACTCTTTAAGTTCCCTATTTGACAACCATTATTGGGTGGAGGTATGGGAAGAGCTTTGAATAATGATTTTTAAGAGAACATGTGGTTAAAGGTAGGAAAAATTTTGAATTTACAATCAAAATATTTTATTATGTGAATATATAAATGAAAATAAGTATGTAAAAAAAAAAAAAAAAGAGTTCGAAAATAATGGTTGTCAAACAATGGCTAAATTTGAAGAGCCAAGCAAGTTAAAATAGATAAGTCTATTGAAACCTATTTTTAAGCGGTAACTTTTTAAAATAAAGAAGATTTTGTATCTAGAGACTTTGTTGGATATGCTCTTAGAAATGGATAACAAAAAAAAAAAAAATAATGTTGTTTGTACATAATGATTTATATATAGATGGGGTGTTAAAAAGAGAGTGAATAAATTTTTATTTTATTTGGTGAAAAAATTTGGATCTATTCATATCTCGCTACATCATTTGTGTGTGAACAATTATGTACACGAAGAATTTCTCTTTCTCATACTCACTCTCTGTACAATCAGCCCCTGTTTGGTGAAAAGTAAGTTTTTAAAATTTTAACTTAAGTTGAAGTCAAAGATTGATTTCAACCACACATCAACTTTTATTAAAATTTACTAAAAATCTAATTTTACTCCTTATCAAACAAGAACTTAATATTTTTTTTAGACTAAATATAATCACGTCACGTCTTTTGATAAATACACTACATTTACAACATTTACGTATTATCATATCTATAACTCAAACCTTTTTTTATAAATCACACTCTCGATAGTTATATTTATGATAAATTACCCCAATCATGTTTTAAAGCATGCTTAGGTTGAGAGGACTAAGCATAAACAAGTTAAAGTTTTTTATTAAATTTAAATTTCGTTTAATTTTACTTTTTCTTTGAATTTTCTTCAAGCTCATTTTAATCGGACATTCTTCTAATAAAATAAGTTTGTACTATTAAAAAAAAAAATCTCACTTTTATTTAACCAAAAAAAATATAAATTTTATTTTTATATCATGATGCTCCTATTTTGCCTTCATTTCTAAAACTCATTCTCTTCAAAATTAAGCCCCTATTAGACAATCATCAACTGGGGAAAGTAAAATTTTGAATAGTGTTTTTTAGAATAATGTGTAGTTAAAAAATAGAGAAAAATTTTAGGTTTACATATAAAATATTTTATCGTGTGAATGTTTGGTTAAAAATAGTTACGTGGAAAAAAGGAGTTTGAAAATAATAATTGACAAATAATTTTTAGTTAGATCGTGACAACATTTATATGAGTAGTAGTAATAAAAAGGGTAATTAGCACAAAACGTACTTACTTTTTAATGTTATTGTGCAAAACACCCTTACATTTCGTATTTTAACATTTTTACTCATATTTTCACATTTTATTGCGGAAAAGGTCATATTCGTCCAATTTTTCAATTAAAAATGTAAAATGACAAATATACCCTTCAATTTAAATAAAACAAAAAGATATTCCAGTTATACTCCCAAACTTTTTTAAAAACTACAAATAAATTCAAATAAATTATTAGATGGAAGTTAGTACAAAATGTTCATATCTTTCAATATTATTGAGCAAAATGTTCATACCTTTCATTTTTAATATCTTCACCCTTATTTTCATATTTCATTGCGGAAATAGTAATTTTTATCCATTTTCAGTCAAAAGTTATAAAAATGATGAATATACCCTCCTAGTTACAAAAAAATAAAGAAAAAATTACAACTATTCTTCCAATTTTTTCAAAAAGTATAAATAAATTTTAAATAAATAAATAATTTGTTTAAAAATCACTTTCTTTTTTAATTATCTATTAGGAATTTATGTGTACTTTATTTTTGAATTTGGAAGTATAGTTGCAATTTGTTCTTTATTTTTATTTTTTAATTTTTCTTTTATTTAAGTAGGAGGGTATATTTATCATTTTACAGTTTTATTGAAAAAATAGATGAAAAAAATGATTTTCGTAGTGTAATGTGAAAATAAAGGTAAAAATGTAAAAAATAAAAGGTAAGAAAATTTTGAACAATAATATTGAAAAGTAAGGGTATTTTGTGCTAATTACACATTTAATAATTTATTTTAACTCATTTGTATATATATTTTTTAAATTTATAGTATGGTTGCAATGTGTTCCTTGATTTTTAGGTATATTTTTCATTTTACATTTTCTTATTGAAAAATTAGATGAAAGGGATCTTTTTAGCAATGAAAGATAAAAATAGGGATGAATATGTCAAAAAATGAAAGGTGATAACGTTTTACACAATAACAAAAAAAAATGTAATGATGATTTGTGTTAATTACCCTTATAAAAAAGCAGGTATTCAGCTTGTGTTTTGCTCCCATTTGGCCTCCATTATTTGTCATTTTAATTTTTATAATAGTTTTATTTGAATAATACGTAATTAAAAATGAAGAAAAAATTTTGAATTTACGTCTAATATTATTTTATTATAAAATATGTAATTAATAAGAAGAAAGAAAAAAGTGAATTGTAATTTTAATATGGGCAAAATGATGTGCCACAGTGATTTAGACTCCAAAGCACACATCTTTTCATGTCTATTGGCATTGATAGTTGATATGTCAGTTGCCATGTTCATGTATATTTTTGCTACAGTTAATGGAGTTTGACATTGTTTGATGTGTCATGAGGTGATAGTTTTTCATACATTAATTTTAATAATATTTTAAATAATTAACGACGCAAATTTTGATACATCCAAATTTAACGTGGATTGAGAGAGCTCATTCTGATATGACCCCTCTTCCTCCCTTACACTCTTAACATAGCACTGAACTTGAATTGAACTTACAGTTATATACGCTGAGACACAGAGAGAAAAAGATAGGGAAAAAATGGGTTCTTTGGAAGTTGAAGTTACAATGAAGAAGGCTACTTGGCTGTATCCAAAAGTGTCTGGTAAAAATCCTTCAGAGAGATGGGGGCATTCTGCTTGCTATTTTAATGGCTTTATCTACATCTTTGGGGTACACACTTACTTTTCTTCTTTTTGTTAATTGTAAAATTTTACATTTTAAAGATTTTACATGAAGGTAAGATCTTCTTTTTCTCTATCAAAGTTGGTTCATATGGTTAATTTTGGCAAGAAAACACCAGCACCTTCTTGGACAAAATTTAGTTTTCACCACTTTTAAGGTATTATCTGAAACTTCACTGGTTCTCTGCAGTCATTAAAAACTTGAGGGTTTTTGTATTTTTCCCTTTTATTTTTGGTACTTAGTTCAATCATAGTTTTGTGCGATTATTCTTTCATTGTATTGTATGTTTGGAATACCTTTGATTTCTAGTTTGCAAAAGTGCAGTTATTTAACACAATTCATCATGTAAATTATATAACCTCAAATAATGGTTGTTTTGAACCCCTATGTTACTTACTTTGAAAGTAATTTTTAAGTAACTTATTTCCAAATTGAAAGCTTACTGATTCACTTATAAGTGTTTTTAAGCTTAACCAAGCACGCTCTTGGTGCATTAGTATCTTTAAATAGTAATGGGAGGAAAGACAATACTGTGTGATGTTAATTTGTTGTTATTGCCTACGTGGTACTGATTCTACAGAATGGACCGGCGAATAGATAGAATTTTAACTTGTTTTCTTCATTAATATTCTCATATCGATCCTACCAAACATGTGTGATAAAAATGAGTGGTGAATATTAATTATCGAAGTAATGCTAATTATATCTAATACTCCTAATTGGCTTCTTTTTTTTCGTTATTAATTAGGGATGTTGTGGGGGAGTTCATTTCAGCGATGTTCTGGTGTGTAATCTCGAGACAATGACTTGGAACATTCTCATGACTTTGGGGCAGGGCCCGAGATCACGAGACAGCCACAGCGCTGTACTCATTGGGCACAGGATGATAGTATTTGGAGGAACTAATGGTTTTAAGAAGGTCAATGACTTGCACATATTGGATTTGCATTCTAGAGAGTGGACTCGGCCCGAATGCCATGGCAATCCACCTTCCCCTCGTGAAAGTCACACTGCTACACTTCTTAATGACGATAAATTAGTTATATTTGGGGGTAGTGGAGAAGGAGAGTCGAAATACTTAAATGATTTACACATTTTGGACCTCAAAACCATGGGATGGACATCCCTAGAAGTACGGGGTAATGTACCTGCTCCTCGAGATAGTCATAGTGCTGTGGCTATAGGTAACCGGATTTTTGTGTATGGTGGAGACTCGGGTGATCGGTACCAACAAGATGTGAATGTGTTTGACATGAAAACGTTAAATTGGTCTAAGGTATGAACTCCGTCCACAAACTTGTTTACCCTTTAAGTTGCGTAAAATAAAGAAAAATTAACGAATTAAATGATTCGAGAAATGTCATAAGGTAATGTTGTGTTCATTTTCTTATCAGCTGGAAGCTCATGGTCCATCCCCCGGTGCTCGAGCTGGTCACGCTTCTGTTAGCATAGGGACCAAGGTGAGTAAGATGTGTCTGGCTAAGCTCAAAAGTTATTATTTTTTGAGGTTACTGTAATAATGGCTAGTTTAATGTCTGTGCTCTGCAGGTATATGTAATTGGTGGAGTCGCGGACAAACAATATTATAATGATGTCTGGGTTCTCGATGTAATTAAATCATCCTGGGTTCAACTCGACATTGGTTTTCAAAAACCTCAAGGACGGTTTGCTCATACGGCCACTGTCACAAACTCAAGCATAGCAATTTTTGGAGGGTGAGAATGTAATATGATGCAACTGTCAATTGTATTATACGTATAGTTTTTCTTATGGATTTTTCTCCTTTTGTTGCCTTAACATTGTAGTTGTGGAGAGGATGAGCGACCTCTCAACGAGTTGCTAATTTTACGGGTAGGAGTAGAACATCCCATGGGGCATGTTGATTCCACAAGGAGATCTTTAGGAAACTCCAACTACAAAGAAAGGAAAATGTTTTTTCGAGATGCAGATAATAATTTGGTATTGGAAGAGTAACACTGCTAGTATTTTGAAGTTTTACTCTCTTTTTAAACGATATGCTAACTATACAAATCATTTGCAGCAGAAGAAATTATTTCCTGGCGAATATAAGGATTTAGCCACGAAGGATGCTGAAGAACTTGAAATAATCTCAGAACGCTCTTTTCGTTTTAGTTCAGGTTAGTTCAACGTACAAAACCTTGCTTATCTCAATATTCGATATAAGGGAAAAATCACGAGTTACTGAAAAAATAACTTTTGTTTTGTGGAGATATGTTGCATCCGAAGAGGAGGAGAATGAGTAATTCAATGTTGCATGATCTGAAATCCAAACCTGATGAGCATTGTCTTTCACTTTCAAGGAACTCATCTCCATCCAAATCTGATCAAGAACCGACTTCTCAAGTTCATCCTAAATTTTTGCAGCGAATTTTGAATGCTGGCAATTCTCAGCCTATTCATATTCCAGTTACAGGGAGTGAGCTCCAAAGTGTCGTCCCTAGGACTTCTCAGGGTGTAAATTTATCTTCAGAACATGTGCATCAAAGAAAACCAGAACATTATAGGAACATAGCTCTTACTGGTGCGAGTGAAGTGCGGTGCTCAGGAACAGATACCACATCCGCCGAGGCATGGAAGTTCCATAACTTGGTATGTAAGATGATTTCTGCTTGAAATTCTAGAACTACCTAATTTGTTATTAAATTTTCATTTGAAATTTACGTCCTTAGATTGGATCTGAAGTTCACGGTCAAGTTGATGGCGCATTTGATTCTGGTTACCTAATGACCGCTACTGTTAATGGAATGATTTTTCGAGGCGTCCTATTTACTCCGGTAAGTTTCTACACTTGGCCGACCCCACCCTTATGTAATTCAAGCATGCCAACCTTAACTAGTCGATCTTTTCGTTCAGGCTCCTGATCTTGTGGCACGTGGTGCCATTCTCGGTCAAAATCACGCAAAAAATCAAGCAACCGTTCTTTATCGAGGGCATTCTCAGCAGCCAGCAAGAGTAGTTGGTCGAGGATCGCATCAGAGCTTTGGAGCAACTCATTCAGGAAGATCGATCCCAGAAACTAGAACTCCTTTAATGATGAGCAAAGATTCGGGGCTTAAAAGTGAACTTCAGGGTGTGGTCTTGACCCTGGGAGGTCCAGAAAGTGATGATGGCAGATCTAAGTTACAATAAAACCGTAAAACACGATATGAAGATTGGGAATCTGAAATTCTTCCCTCATTTCCGATGACTTTGTATAGTTTTGTCAGGTGCGATAATATAGATTAGATTGTACTAAGCAGTATAAAAGAGAAAACGGGTTATGATAAAAACTAAAAAAGAACATGGATTGTATTGTCCAGTATGGTCTAATAGTACATACTAAAATATCCGGAGGTTATTATTTGGAACAAGCTTCCTTTTGCCAGTTTGAACGTTTTGAGAGTGAATTGCTTTCCAATCGAAACTCTTGACTTATTAGTTCATGTTGATGTATAGTAACTACAAAAAAGGTAGATTTGAAATTATTTGGATAACATTCTGAACCAGGCTTATTGACTTGTTAAATCCAATAATGTTTCACCATGTTGGGTACTTGAATTTTTGGGTGTTAGAATTGTCGACTAGTAAGGATATTGTACAATTTGAGTAGGGCTTTGTCTCATATAGCATGTGTCAATTTACTTAAATTCAAGTTATACGTACATTTAAGTTGAGAAGTAAATCATAACTTGCTTTTTTATGAAAAATTGATTTTTAAGCATAAACAAACACGAAGATTCTCGTATTACATGTGACCTCAAGGATGAGAGATGAGTTTTGGATAATACTGTACAAAAAGATTACCCGACTGTTTTTACGTTACACGAATGGAGGACAATAAGCGTATAAATTACTTTTAAAAATAAAATATATTACTTTTTTCTTCAGATTCTCACATGAAGTTTGGGGTGATAGTTCTCAATTGTCACACTTGATTAAAAAAGAACACTGTAGGCTAGTCAAAACCTCCAAGAACTTGCATGTACTTTGCCCCCCATAATTGAAGTTTTGATTCCCTGCAGTCTGCTGCATAAAGTTTCATACACAGTCACATACATAGCATAAAGGTTTGCAACTGTGTATGTACTGTGGGAGTGGGGAGGGCGTAGGCGTAGAAAGCTCCCGTGCCTCCCGCGGGTGCTGTCCTGTGGGGGCAGAAGAAGTCACTATCAGCCATCTGATCTGTCATTATTTTTATCAATGGCCATCATCTATCTAATCAGATGTACAGCTCTCACAGTTGATGATGTCATCCATGTCCATCTTTAATTCTTCAGAAAAAAAAGGCTCCATTATTTTCAGATGAAAACCCATATATTGAGGAGCATTTAGACTTTCACATGGCATAATTCAGTAGTGCAAAAAAAAGAAATAATGTAATCTTAGTCTTACTAGAAGTCACAGTGTGAGGGTTCGATTCCTGAAATATGGAATTGGACTATTTGTGGCCACCAGTGTACAGGCAAGCTCTTGTTCCCTGACCTGCTGGGGCAAACTCAGCGATTTACCTCCCTCATGATACTCCAGGGGCGAGGCGGGTTTCTTATTTTAAGCTTTCATATATGGCTGTTGATTTTAAGATTTGAGGTTCCATTTTAAAATATAAATCTTATTAAGAGAAGTAGCACGAGACTTTATAAGTTGGTCTATGTTTTCATCTTTATTCGATGTAGGATTATATCCCTTAACATGCCCCTATAAGATAGTGGCTTATTTGAGCAGATCAATCTTGAAATTCGTATGCTCATTTATTGATCTTAATCAAATTGAATTGCTCGTTGGAGTTTAATGGGTTCTAATATTATATCAAAATTTGAAGTTCATCTTCATAGTTTAACCTTGTTAAGAGGAGTAACCTAAAACTTTATAAATTGGTCTATATTTTCATCTTTATTCGATGTGGAATTACATCTCTTAACAATTGAAAAGAAGGGAACTAGGATTGTTAAATCGATTGTACTACATATAAATCATAATTTATTGATTTATGATATAATGAGATTCGATTGAATCAAAATCTTACTATTTTTTAAATTTTTTTTTAATTTGTCACTCACCCACATTACATAAGCACAGTTGTTCGTCAAAATCCCGCAAGCGTACGGGTTCGTTGTACAAGTAATAATTGTGATGAAAGAGTTATCGTCCCACAGGGAATAATGTCTAATTTCAATGTATTCGATATAATTGAATTCGTGTGATTAACTAAAAGTTGATATTTGTTTGAATAAATAATTAAGTTCTATAACTAAAAATTGCAAAATTGATGAGAATTTGTTTTAAAATTCAGATGAGTGAATGTATTGGATTTTCGACGCCACTGATCAACTCTTAGTTCTAATTTTCAACCTATGACAATTATCTCAACTCATGCAATTGTGACAATCGATAATTCCACTTTTATTTATTATTCTTTTCCAAAATATAATAAACCTATGATTACCACGAGATGATCCTATTCCTAGTCCGAATTCATATGGCAAACACGCATTGATATATAGGATTATCACACATGATCACACAAGTCACAAATATTATTCCTAACATTCATTGTCCATGCGTTCCAATAACAGTATTCTACCTATCGTGAGTTTTTCAATACTACAAATAAGCAATTTATTGACCTAATGATGCGCAAACATTAAAACAATATGGATATGCATACTAAAGAAACCACAACACAAGAATTAAGATAAAAACATAAGGTCTGGAATTAGAAACTAAGAGTCAATCAGTTTTGTCATCCATCCAATACAATGATATTTATCCTAGCATATTAATGTAGGAAAAATAGGAAAAATAAAAGAACGACATCACCCGAATCATTAAAGTATGAAAAGAATCTGAAATCCTTTTCTTTATGCCTTCAATTTTGAACTCAAGTGATGAAGTCTTGTTCTTCAATGTATATCCGACTCTTTTTTTCCTCTTTGTTGGCTTCCAAGATGATAAAAATTAGGTTCTCCTGTGTTTTAGCCGACTTTTGGTATAAATATGGTGCAAAAAATTCCAAACCAAAACTTTCTAAAGCAAAATAAGGAAACATAATTTTTTTGTCGAAATTGAATCATGCGTACGCATGGTTCATTCGGTGCGTACGCATAGTAGCCTCAATTGAGTTTCGAAAGTTTAATTTCCCAACCGTGCGTACACAAGGCCTGCAGGCCCATGCGTATGCATAGTTCAATTATTTTAGGGGTCAATTTGCAATTTGGTCCCTAAACTTTATGAAGTGAGTGTTTTGGGCATTTCCCAAAATTTCTTGTCTCATTAGCTTTTCTTCAACTCCAATTGACTCTTGGTGTTCTCAACTCATGTTCTCTGGTCCATTTCAACTTTTGAATTATTGCATTCTAGTCCCCAAACTTTGCCCTCGATGTAATTGAATCGTTTTTTCCCGCTTATTTTCTTTATTCTCGTATCTTCCATTAATTGTAACCTAGACACAATATATACATAGGATTAAACCATATTTCATCAAATTCATCAACAAATACTCAATTTTAATGGCTAAATAAGTGTATAAATTATACTTATCAACAGTCATTTAAGTGGTAAAGAGATTTTGACAATTTTGATTCAATTTATCGTCACTTCATCAGTATGTAAAAGAATTTGTAAATAGTGATGTACAACAAGCAATTTTCTTTTTAAATAGATTGAGTTGAGTTGCACGGCTCATCCACTTTTGGGCTCGATTTACCCACCATGCTAGTTGGTTAGCATTCATATGTGAAGCTAGTCTAGAACGAACTGTCTTGCTTCACCAAATTTTGACTCTTGCAACCACCAACTTGCCCCTAAGTTGGGGTAAGCCGAGTTAACATTTAGTGAAGCAAGACATCTCGCGCTCAGCTACCTCACATTGGGTGTGCAAACTGACTTGCAAGGTAGACAAATCAAGCTCAATGATGGATGAGTCGAGTGACTTGATTCGAACTATTTAATATCCCACTTTCCAATCTTCCTCGCTCCTTAATGGGGTAAATCGAGCTGACTTACAATTCGCCAATTTGTTTATTATTGCTGGTTAGCCTACTTACTATAGGCTTCTTATTGAATATCTTCAGGCTGGGCTATCTTCGGCCCATCATACCTTTTTATATAGTGGAAATTACATAATGCCATGGGTTTAAAGATCATAATTCAAAAATCAAGGATGCAATTTCATTATTCAAAGATCAGGTATTGACATAATAATTATATATTATATGTTTTAACCCAATTCAATAACAAAGCCTAATTTTATTTCATTCTCCTCACTCTCCCTTCCTATCTTCTTCCTCTCCTTCTCATGCCTTCCTCTTCGTCTGTCGTCGTCGCCACCACTTAAGTAGCATCGCGCTGCTTAATGAAGAGATCAGAGCCTCTACGCGCTGAAGTGCAGGGACGGCGATTCGAAAGCTTCTCCGATTTGTGGCATTTCTTCGACGATTTTCTGTGGCCCATGGTTTGTGTGGTAGCGACGATGGTATGGCTCGGAGATGGCGGTTCTATAAATGTCGCTGCTGGCAGCTCTTCTTGATTATTATTATTATTATTATTTTTGGTTTTGATCATTGGATGGTGTTTTGTGTGGAGGTGGGATGGTGTTTGTGTGATGGCGGACTTGATGATTTTGTTGGTGGGGCAATGGCTCTGGTGTGGAAGTATTAGCAAGTTGTTGTGCGATGGTTGATTGGAGGTGGAGCTGGTGGGTGGTTGGAGCGGGATGTAGCAACTGATTTTATGGGGCATGATGGTTTAAACCTGTCGTACATCGCAGCTGTATGTGGTGGTGGAGCTGCTGGCGATGATAGTAAGGTAGTGGTGGCGGCAATGGTGGATTTGGGGCGCGATTTTTGTGTGGTAATGCAGGTGGAGGTGTTCACAGTGGTGGTGGTGGTGGTAGGTGTTGTGTTGCTGACGACGATCGCAAGATGACGGTGGTTGCAAGTGGTGGTGACGATTGCGTTGGTGGTGATAATATGTGACCCAATATTTGGTGTATGTGACTAATTATTTGGTTATCTGTGACCAAATATTAAATCAACCAACAAATTTGAAAAGCTTGATCGATAAATAAATTATGATCTGTAATTTTTTTTTATTTGTGATCAATGAAATAAGTTGTGACCTATAAAATTTTTTATCTGTGACCTTGAAATAATCTGTGATCAATTAATTTAACAATATGTGACCAATAAATAATTTGTGACTTATAATTATATACATGTGACCAATAATTATATAATTGTGACCTTATTATATTTGATTAATAAATATTTTTAATTATTTAATTAATACTTATTTTTTCATTTTTAAACTTAAAACCTGGTTTTTCAATTGTACATACTTAATACATTATTTGTGAATTTTTCCCTTTTATATATCTCATTTGTTTGGTGTGTTTCTGGTAGGACCTTTAGTTTGTGTTCTCTGGGC